AAAGGACAACATAAAAAATTTAATAAGAAAGAGGTACCTAAAATGTGCGCTCGTTTTGCACCCCGATAAGGCGGAGGGAGGCTCCAAGGGAAGTGGTACAAAAGAGAATGAAACAGAAAGGAGTACTTCAACTGCATCACACAGCGACAAATTCAACACCCTCAAATGTGCATACGAATTTTTAATGAATGAACAATTAAGGAATAAGTATAACCAATACGTTTCACAGCAGAAGACGAAAATAAAAAAACATGCCACAGGGAGTAATAACCTAAGTCTGAACCGCCACCTGGACAAGACTAAACTGGATGCAGCACAAAAGGAGAAATTATTCTTCAAAAGAAAATTAGAAGCACGAGAGAGGGACATGGCCAAGGGGGAAGGAAAGAAGAAATGGAAAGTCAATGAGGCAGAATGGCAACAGGATGAAATGGCTGGTGATCCCACTGCCAGCAGTTACCGCAATGGGAAAAACAGCCGTAAAAAAAAAAATGCGCAACAGAGGAGAGCAGCACGTATGGAACGAAACCATTTACAAAACATGAAAACGCAAAATGAAGATTTTGTGCGAACGCATTCCTCTGTACAGCAGTCTGGTCAGACAAATCACCACACATACGTTCGTGAGGAAGGGGAGGAGGCAGAACAAAGGGATCGAGTAATTGAAATTTACCTGAACAACTATCCCCACAACGTTGACCTGCTGCAAAGGTGCATAGACCAAAAGGAATTTTTAAAGTTCTTCCTCGATTTTAATTTTCAACAGTATTCCTTAAACAAGAATGAGGAACAGACTCAGAGTGAAAGAAGGGTCGGTCACTTCTCCTTCACTCATCGCAGCGAGGCTATTCGAGCTTATTTACACTTCAAAAAAAATGGAAAGCACATTGACCGCAATTTTAAGCTGAAGCTGGCGGTGCCCTGCAACGAGGGGGGAGAAAACGACACAGCAGCAAAGGACAACGTGGACCGGATGATGAACGAGATGGTGAACGAGCTAGACAAAATGTTTTCTCTCTAGGATGCTGCGTGCACTACGTGTAATGTTGTGCCCTCTCTTTGTATGACATGCCCGGGAGAGCACTTAAAAAAAAGGCGGTTTACCAAACACTCCGCCAACTGTTCACTTTGAAGAAGCTACGCTCGCTGTATACCCATCACATAGCGCGTGTGCTGGTATGCATTTTTTTTTTTTTTTTTTTTTTTTTGTTGTCACAGGTTAATCTGTCGCCACTCCCCACGCGTTTGTAATTTAATGACATTTTAAAAGTTTTGTTTTTTTTTTTTTTTTCAAGTTTGTCCTTTTTTTTTTTGCGCTCCGCTGTGTGCGCGATGAATTACCCATTTGAGTCCCGCCGCAAATTTCTTCTGAAGGAGGAGCCCCTCCACATTTGTCCCCCCACCAACTTCCTCCTTTTGGAGCAGAAACACAAAAAAAAAAAAAAAAAAAAAAAAAAAATGTAGCACATTGCTCACTAACCTATTTTTTATGAACAAAAATTTAAGCAGTCCATTCTGTGGCGTAACAGCGGAGGTCACCAACACACATGTAAAACACATCACCATGAGTGTTCCGCCGAAGGACATGCGCCCCGGTTGCACCACAAGTTAGGTAGGACAGTCTGGCCCAACTGCGTTCCCCCCGCACACCGTCCCCTGTTGTCCATTTCTTTCTCGTATGCCGCGCGAACATGTGGGAGGAGGTGCACACCTGCGTGCAGGCAAGCAGCTGAACGGTGACCGTTAAAAAAAAAAAAAAAAAAAAAAAAAAAGAGTAAATCGTATAATGCAGCGAAACGAAAAAAAACACATTACGTAAAACATAATGAAGCAGAACAAAGTATCTCTGCTTCTCAATGGGTCGCTTGTTGTTTAGTCACCCTCGCATGTGCGTTTTTTTTTCCCGCGTTTTGTCTTTTCCCATTTTTGCGGTACGCTGTCACTTGTGCAGAAAAAGCGGGGCATTCTCTCTTGTGGCACCCCGCGGGAAGAAGATACAGCAACACAGCGGTTAAGCGGTGTAGCTGCCAACCAACGTAACTGGCAAACCGCCTCACCGCTGCTCCATCAGTCGACATGAGAGAACAGAGCGAAGAGGCCCGGCTGCAACGGCTACTGGGCAGGTTGAAGAGTCAGGGGATGTTCGATGAGGTGAAAGAAGACACCGTGGACAAAAATGTAATAAAAAAAATTGCCATCCTGTATGACGTGTTCAGGCGGATAAATGAGGGGAACGGAGCCATAGGTGCGAGTGGTAACTGCGACTTTGTATACACCAGCGACATTAAGTATGCATTAAAATACGACAACTTCGTGAGGGTCAGGTTTCACATAATACCCGTGGAGAGAAAAAAAGGAATTCTTCAATTGGGAGAGGAAGAAGAAAAAAATTATCATTTCATTCAAAATATGAACAACATCGTTAGTAATATTTACAACCCCTCCAGTTATGACCAATTTTTAAATAACAGAGTGGAGGAAGACAAAGAAAAATTAAAGTGCATGATGAAATGTCTTAACGAAATTGAGTCCGCATATATATACAGGTACCGCAGTGACAATAATATTAAATTAACGTTTGAAATTTTTTGTCACAACTTTTATACCTTTTTGTCGTATGATTATAAAAGGAAGTCGTGCATACAGAATTTTCGTAATAAGTATTCGAACGTACAAGTGAGCAACCCCTTTCAGTTGTCCACTCCTCAAAATATGATTCACATAAACTCGATTGGAACTGTGATGCACTCTTCCAGCGACCAGTACGAGAGAGACACACTGGACACACTCAAGCCTTTCATCCTCGAGTCCCTTGAGATGGTCAAGGAGCTGCACGGCACGGGGGGTAGCAAGCAGTACCCCTTTGGTGGAGCCCAACTGGACAACGACTTCTTCGTTAAGAATGCGCACTACGAGGATGACATGCGGGGTCTCATTCGCATGGAGCGGGCGGCCAACGAGTACAGGCGCTTGCGCGCGGGCCTGGCAAAGCGGGGCGCTTAAGCGGTTGACTGGGTTTGCCCACGTAAATCTCCTTTACCGTCATATATAGCTGAACGCAACGAGGCGGAGTCACGTCCCGGGGAAAAGCGCTACAAGAGGAAAGTGAAGCAACCTACGATGTCGCAAAAATGTGTATCTTTACACAATCGTGTGCATTGTGAAGTTTTTTTTTTTTTTTTTTTTTTTTTTTTCGTTCCAACGCAACAGTGCAATGGCTTGTGCGATGGGGGGGCCACCTACCCGGAGCAGTCGTGCCCCACCTCTGTTTTTGTATCACCTTTTCTGCCCTCAACTTTTTCTCCATCCTGGGGAGAGGCTCGAACGTGTGACGTGTTTTAGAAGAGAAGTTAGCCACAGCTGGAGGGTTCCACAATGTGTCCCAGCGCGGAACCAATTTTTTTTTTTTTTTTTTTTTTTTTTTTTTTTTTTTTTTTTTTTTTTGTTGCTAACCGGGACTACACATAAGTGATGCCGCCCGCCCCACACGCATTTCTCCAAAGGATCGGCCTCCACGCAAGAAATGCATTCGAAGGCACGTACCACAGCACATCAGGGCACAACTGGGAAGCAACTCCACACCTTCTTCCCTTATTGACATGGTTCAAAATTGTTTTGTGTATTTTTTTTTTTTTTATTTGTTTTAATTGGGAGTCCTTTCTCCTTACAGGGAGGGAAAGGAAGGCTTAGCATAAAAATAGCATCTGTGTGTTGAGACGTTTGAGGATGGACCGCGCCCGGGGAACCCTCCTCGGGTTGGCTGGTCGACAGTGGGACATGCTGTGGTTGGGTGGTGCACATTTTGGCATCTCCCCCAGGGTTGAGGGTTGCACAAGTAAGTGTAGTGTTGTATCCCGTGCAACTGTCCTGTGGCAGTTGGCCTGACGCATTGGACCTGTCCAACGTGCGACGTCCAGCGTGTCACGTGTAACATGCGACCATGTGAATGCTCGTGTACATTGCCACCCCCGACCCCGTAACCTTCAGCGAGTCGATGCATGACCTACTACCCCTGCCGCAGACAGGAGGGGCACAAAATAGTATGTTGGAAAAAAAAAAAAAAAAAAAAAAAAAAAAAACACCGCGCTTGGGTTAGCCCATGCACACATATTAACGCTCACGCACCCCCCCCTCTCCACAGGAACTGATGCTGGGGAAGCACCGGAAGAGGAAAATCAACCCGCCCCTCTACCCAGTACACCCAAATGAAGAAAAAAAAAAAAACCTCAACAATTTCATAACCTACAAGGATTTAAAGATACGATGGAGAAGCACAACAAAAAATTACAGGAAAAAAGTGACCATAGCTAGGAAGTGGAAGAATTTGCATTGCCTTCTCCCCATGAACAAAAGTTCATGCATTTTTATTTTACACAAGAATTTACCCTACACTCGTTTTACACGCAAGGAAGGAGTCTGTCCTGAGGAGAGCAGCTATGTCTCCCCTCAGCGGGAGGATACCTCCCGGGGGGCACACATGAAACAGGTACTTACACAACAAGTAGTTGTGTGTATGTTTACATGGACGGGGAAAGAGAGCCACACAGGGGCGTGATAAGAATTCGGAAGTGGCGCCCACTTGCGTGTATGTAGGCGTACACAATTACGTACCTGTCGTGTGATTTTTTTTTCCCCCCCTCAGGTGAGTGATAACCGCGAAGGAGCAGTTCCCAATGTGGTGGTCACCCCGCAAAGTGGAAAAAGGAATGGCACACTGAACAGGGGAAGGAAGGCCAAAAATGGTAACCCGGCTCGCGTGCGCAATGCGAAGGCGGAGGTAGGTAAGCTGGACGAACCAGATCAAATGAATCACCCCTATGAGGTTGATCCCGTCCCGCAAGGTGCCTCCACACTCGAATTGACCTACCACGAGGTACCACCCCAAGAAGTCCAGCACCTCCTCAAAAAAGGAAAAGAAAATCTGTTTTGCATTTTTAAGTCCAATTTTATAAACGAACACAAGGTAACCATTGGTGATATTGTACAGACTGAAAAAATGCATCGCAGGAAAGCAGGAGATGTGGTATACTTCGGCACAGTCCTCCTCGTGGGGTCAAAAGATTTTACCATCATTGGAAAGCCCACAGTGCCCTACTGCAGAGTGAAAGCCACTATAGAGCAAATAACCTTAAGTAAAGAAATTTTAAGCTTTCGCTATAAAAAGGTCAGGAGGTCAAGTAGGTTCCTTCGAATCAAACACTGGCTTACCATTCTCAAAATTGAAGACATTATAATTGACACAAAGGAACAAGTGAAAGATGAACGGAAGAAGCCTTTGCAGATTTTGGACCTATGGGCAAATCGGTGGCTGTACGAGAAGGAGTTGAATTTTATTAAGTTTAATGAATCGGGTACTGCCCCTTTGGCGGAACAGATTTATGATCTAGTGGAGCACCAACCTAATACTTTACATCGGAGGGGACTTACCGAATGCTACCGATTTTACCCTGACCCGAACGTCCCGCACACGTATTAGCAAGACGCCACAACATTGTGTGGCCGTCCCGCCGAACTATGCGTCTCCTCCCGCAAGGGTGCTACAAGCGCCATCGTGTCATAACTTCAACCGTGTAACCATTTGCGTTAACGACAAGTATTTATACAATTGCGTGCTTGTTTTTTTTTTCCGCTCCATTTATTATACTTTTCGCCAGCGCAATGCGCTTCCCCCTTTTTTTTTTTTCCCCCCCTCCTGGGGTGCAATTATGTATGCGTCGCACCGCGCCCCTAACCGAATGAACCCTCCCCGGAGGGGGAAATACCCTTGCGCGAAATTTACCCGCTGAAGAAGTCGCAACTGTTGCAGCAACTGCTTACAGTTGGCATCCCACGAAAAAAAAAAAAAAGCTACAATGTGAAATCACGATCCCAATCTGAATCTCGAACCCTAAGGCATCCCAATCGCAATCTCAATCACACTGACCGCACGATGCGAATGCAGAGAAACGCCGAGAGGAACACTTGTGTATAAACTCCCCCTCTCCTATTTGCCTAGAGGCCCATACGGCGTAGCACACGTGGCGCATACTATGGGGGTGAAGTTCGAGTTCTTCAAATTTTTTAAACTGAACTACTACGCCTTTTACGTGAAGAAGGAAAAGCTGTACACCTTTCTGCATACCACTACGGCGTATTCCCTCGTGGGCGTGACCATATATCTGGGTTAGATTTGCAATTCTAATGAGCAGCGATAACATATTTGTTATAATGTAGCTGTGATGATGTTGCGGCCTTAATGTAACAACAATAAGTATATAAAGCGAGTCCCCCCTCATGCACGCCCTTCTCCCCCCGCAGGATACTCCTTCTTTCACATGTGGAACGACGCGGTACATTACTCGTACAAGCACTACGTGAGGAAGGAAGTAAGTGCGAGTGAAGCATGAACACAGCGATGTTGGATGCATTCCGCAAGGAATTGAGAAGTGTGAATGCCACTGCAGTCGTTCCCATGTAACGCCTGCTAACAACAGACCATATCTTCATAAATGTATATATATTATTTTTTTTTTTTTTCACCCACTTTCGAAGAAACAACGCAAACAACTGTACGATAAAATTAGGATCGCTCGGGAGAATGGTCTCATCCCCAAGAGCGAAGTTGATCTCTCGAATTAATTAATAGATTGGACAGGCAACTAGCCAAAATAAGGAGCCAAAGTAGCCAATCAAATTAGCTAGTCAAAAAAAAAAAGTTCACACATTTTGTGCGTGTCAAAAGGGATACCCTTCTAAGAAAAACAACCCATGAAGAGAACACCCGTTCAAGTGGTGACAGCGAATCTACACAAGTATTTTATGGCAACCCCAGGGGATGCTTCTCCCAACTGCACAATTACATTTGTCGAATAAGTAAAACTAAAGCACGTTGCTCAAATATAATATATTACCTGAACAGGTCAGCTAGTTTTGCACTCAGAACAAAAAAAACAAAAAAAAAAAAAAAACGCCTACAGCATTCCCCTCCCGTCATCACGGACCCTACGCAGTTAAGCATAATCAAGACAACAAAACAGATTAACCCTTCTAAACAGGTAGACACCGCGGAGAAGAATCACCTATCCGTGAAGAATACACACAAAAGAGGAACAAACGCAACTTTAATCAAACGTGAAAATGAAGATGAAAACACACAACACGTGGTGTCTCATTCTTCCCCTTGTTTATGCCCTCCTGTCGAGACAAATTGAAAGCAAATGTTGCAATAGCGGCAAAAGCAAAGATGGCAATCCATTGCCTATGTATTTTTCAAACGATATAAATATAAAATTTTTATTTGATTTTTTGCAAGTGAAGAATGAGTACGAATTTATCCTCTGCAACATTGTGTGCATTTTGTTGGGCTTCCTATCTGTGTATGTTAAAGTGTTGAAGAAAAAAGCTTTTAAGGAACATTCAAATGAATTGAAGACCCAGATGGGCATGTTAAGCATAATCTTTTCATGCAAAAGTGCCATGTATGGGTGGTTGTCTTTTCTTAATTACACAATTGACTTTGCGCTGATGCTTATCGTTATGACTTTCAACGTGTACATATTTTTAAGTATCATTTTGGGCGTGACCTGTGGCTACTTTTTTTACGGCCACCGGTTAGCGCTGTGAGGCGCGCGCAGAGAGGAGCGGCGCAGCACCGCGTCGTACGTCACAGACTTGTACGCTACAACGCGGCCCGTTGTAGTTTTTTTTTTTTTTTTTTTTTTTTTTAACCCATCCTTAATGAACCTCCGCACCTTCCCCCTTTTTACAAACTCTGCATTGTAATCCTTAAAAGGGAAAATAAAAAGTGTCTCTTGAGTTCCACGTTACGCCCGTTTTGAAAATGAAAAAAAATAAAATAAAAAAAATACCAATTGGGGATAGAAGGGGAATACACCAATTGTGTAATTTCCCCGTGTGCCGCACTTTTTTTAACCACTTTTTTTTTTTTTTTTTTTTTTTTAACAAGCATGTAATTTCCTTTTTAAGCGTGCAGGAGGGCAAAACACATTTACCCAACAGTGCATACCACACCACGTCGCATGTCGTCGTATCTGATTTGTGCGCACAGCAGGGCTTTTCCTGCCTGCCTGACTTGTGCTTGCAATTGGCAACACAGTGCTCCTCAATTTTTTTCGCAGACTTTTAATTTCCGTTGTTATTTTGGATTTGTACCACGTGTCACTCTTTTTGTTTTAATTGTACGCAAAGTAGGCATACTTGTTTTTTTTTTTTTTTTTTTTTTTTTTTTTTTTTTTTTTTTTTTTTTGGGAGGACAACTTTTTATGTTCCAGCCTTGTTCGAGTGTTTCCCTCGTTATTAAATTGTTCCTCTGCAGTTGCAACACCGTTGCCTGCTCGCCGCCGTTCATGCTTGAGAAAAAAAATGGACTCGACAAATATTAAACGGGGGCTAAGCAACGAGAACAACTGCGTCCCTGACGCAACGCTGAAAACGGGGGGTGGTGCACACAGTGAAGAGGGGGAGGAAGTGACAACGACCGAAAAGGGAGTCGCACTACAAGTGGGGGAGATGCACACGGACGTCGATACGGTTGAGGGTGCCACCGTTGAGGACGCGCAAGCTCAGCAGACACAAAAAGGGCGGAAGGGAAGTACCCATTGGGGGGACGACATCAGGGAGGGAAACCACAAAAGGGAGAGCAGCCTGACGGATGACCAGCTGACCGACCACAAGAAGAGCCAAGGGAAGAGTGAGACCATCACCACCCAGCGAGACGTCGAATTTCACAAGCTGTACGAAAGCGACGACAACAATTTTGTGTCCCCCCGGCACAGCTCCACTAGCGAATCTGTAAAAAAAGAGGAGCTAGACAAAGAGAAAAAAAAAAAAAAAAAAAACAGCAGCAGCAACAACATGACGCTTAACACAACCATGTTGCAGTCATACATTCACAGAAGCTACGACAAAGTATCGAATGCTTTTATTAAAACTTCCAAGTCGCTCTTGAAGAGAACGAGCAACATCACCTACTCCGAGGAAGCAGACGTGGGTGCGGCGGCGGCGGCGGAAGCGGCCGACCGGGTAACAAGTGCAAAATGGGGAAGCTCAGACGGGGTCGATGCGGGAAGAAAAGTTAAAAGCGCCAAGGCAAGGCTGCTAAGAGGTTGCCTCACCAGCTCAGCGAGTCAGGTGGAAGGTCAAGTGCCGAGTGAATGGGATGTCCCCTCAACCTGCCATGACAGGAATGAAAATTCTTTCTTCAAAGAAAATTTCGATTTAATAAATAAAACGTTACGAGAAGATAATAAATGGGGGGAGAAAAATAAAGAACGCATGATGGGCAAATGCAAAAAACTGCTAGAGAGCAATGACACGGTGAAGCTGTATAACGAAATTGAAGACCTTTACGAGGAGAGGATCCTACTGCTAAAATTTATTAACTACTACATGGACATAACGGAGAAGCATCAACGTGAACTGCAGAAGATACAAACGTCCTACGAAATTTTACTCACAGAGAATGAGCAGCTCAGTCAAAACAACATCACCTTCAAGAGGCATATTAACTTGTTACGCACTGGAGACACTCCCGCGCAGGAGTGATGTCAACGACTCCTCACACTACCCCCTTTTGCGTGCATATATCGATTGGGCTCATGCAATATACATGCACACACTTCACACGAAGCTGATTACTCCACCGTGTCTTATCCTTTTTGCCTACCTACCTCCAACACATATTGTGTACACACAGAAACGGTTGGCTCGGTTTGGAGCAAATTTGAAGAATTTTTTTTTTTTTTTATCGACTTTACAACGCAGTAACATAGCGTCGCATGGAATAACTGCCCAGGGAATGTGCCCCATTCGAAACGGTGAAATGCACCCACAGGGGGTACCCTGTCTCTGTTTCACTTCGTCCATCACAGAAAGCGTGAATCGACCGGGAGAGGCTACGCTCCATAGGGAGAGTCTGCCTCCTACTGATGTCGCTCCGCTAAAAGAAAACAGGACAAAACAGGTGCCCACATTCAGGACATACTGCCCCACGAAAAAAGTCACAACTAATTCAAAATTAATCACTTTCAACACATTCTCCCTTTCCCCCCTTCTGCTGACCCACTCTTCATGCGAAGGAAGCAGAAATGAAAAAACGGCAATGTGCTACAATGAAAAGATGTTTTAAACATTTTTGTCTTTTTTTTTTTTTTTTTTTTTTTTTTTTTTTTTGCAAAATTAAAAAAATATATAAAATGGCTAGACATGTTAATGCAACTTTGCTGGTCACAGCATTCCTCGGCTCATCTTCCTGTCGTATCTGTGCGAGGGGGGGGGGGGGGGGGGGGGGGGGGGGGGGGGGGGGAAAGGAACGTGAGTGGTGGGTCTTTCAAATGAGGATGGAAGTGAGGATCACGGGGTGGATCTGATTGGGGCTATGATGGCGCTCTCCCGACAAGCTACACAATTCAACGGTCTAATTAGGAAACCGCGGCCCCTCTTCCATTTCTTCTCCTTTCTTACTGGCGCCTGTGGGACTTTCCCTTGTTGGTCGTCTTCTTCATGTAATACCGCTTGCTCCTGTTTGCTACGGGGGAGGAAGGAAGGGAGAAAAGGGTCATTTGTATAAGGCACACAAAAACCGGCGCGTGTGATGAAGAAGGAGAGCTTTTTTTTTTTTACCTCCGTCGGAACACCCATCGCCCTTTGGCGCGCCGTCTTCACCGTCAGGAGTCCTAGTGCCATGTTGCTGCCGGGGTGGTCTGCCTCGGCTAAACATTCCTTCTCCTCGCTTGCCACGCCCGCGCGAGTTAGCAGCACCGCCTCGCCCAGCAACACCGCGACGATCAGCACCACCCGGACGATTAGCAACACCACGTGGGAGACCCCCATCACTGCCGGCGCTGCCGTCTTCACGACTCCTCCTGTACGACGTGTAGGGCAACACATCATTCTCAAGTTTTCCCAGCGAGCCATCCCCCGAAGAGTCATCACAACTGCTCGACCTATCCAGTAGGTCGAAAATTTTATTTTTATTTTCTTCCCCCAGGTTATCATTGGTATATCTCCCTTTGCTGCTTTTCCTTTTGTGGGGCTTTTCCACCCGTGTGCGTTCGCGCAGCACGTCGAGGATATTCCTCTGCCTGCCCTTTGCAGCTGCGCGTGGTTTGGTGTGTTGGAAGCGGTCCACCTCCACGTTGTTGGCGCGGCGCCCAAGGCTGCTTCCACCATGGCTACGGTGCGCGTCGCTACGTCCATCATCTGCACTTGCATCATCCCCGCTTACGCCGTCCCCACTTATGCCGTCTGCGCTTCGACCATCACCGCTCCGACCATCGCTTGGACCGTCGCTGCCCGTTGCGGGTGCAACCCCCGTGGCCAGGACCTCCTCCACGGCTTTACAAAAGTCAAAGTTGTTCCTCCTTAGCACCTTGAGCACAGCACCGACGTCGTTCACGTTGGTGATCTCCATGACCCGCTCGATCTCGTGTTGATATTTCATTTCACACATTTTATTCACTGCCTTTTTGTGATTCACTTTTAAAACTTCGTTCAGGTAAAAATAAAAGTCCACATCGAGTTTATCCTTCAGGACAAATGTGTGAAGAAATCTCCAGTTGCACATTTGCATGTCGTTTCGTAAAAAATACAAAAGGTTCATTTTTTCACTTGTTTGTTTTAGCATATCGATGATGATGGAGACGACTATGAGCTTGTTCTTTTCGTTTCCGTACAGGAGGAGGTACTTCACCATCATGGTTAGTACTTGTGCGAACAGGTGCCGCAGGTAGAGTAGGTCCTTCCGCGCGCGCTCCTTCAGCGTGTCTTCATATACGTGGTGAATCTGAAGAGGCGAGGGGGGAAGGAAAATCAGTGAAGGGGTGAATTGCTCGCGTGGGTGATGTTGTCGTGGGTTACTGTGCTCGCGAGGGCGACGTCGTCTCATGTTTGTAACGCAGTGCCAAGTCAAAGGCCGTGACGCACTCCCTCTTCGCGTACCATGTCGAAGTAGGTGTGCACCACCAAGTGGAGGAAGGAACTGCCCGTGGAGCCCTCCTCGCGCTTGAGAATCTCCGGGGCTGAAGTGGACAGAGAAAAGGAGCCCACGTCCACACCACGATAAAACATCAACCTCAGCAGAATCAAATCATTCGTTTGTTTATTCTCGTTACGGTCAAAATAATTAAAAGGGTGAAAAAAATTTACGAAACAAAGGACAGCAATTATGAACTCGTTAATTTTGTACAGGAGGTTTTGTAAATTTCCCTTGTTATGTGAATAGCGTCCGATCTGATCCTTCACAGCCTTCACCTCCTCGTACAGGAAGGACAAATATTTATTTATGTTCAAAAAATTAATTTTGTTCACTCTGTATGCCTCCTTTAACAAGTTTTTTATTTCCTTTTTTCTCTTTTTGGATCTGTGGAACATCATCATGATATCCATAAAGACGTGAATTTTTATGAAAGTCGATTTTATTGTACTCGTTTCTCGCCTGTCTTTGTTCAGGTAAATTTTGACCAATTTTATGTACAGGTCAAAAATGTGCTTATCGAATCGGGAACGCTGCCTATGTGTCTCCTTTTCCTCCTCCGGTCGGTCGAACGGCAAGTCGTAACTTCTAATTGGACTTAACAAATGTGAAAAGAAAAACGAAGTCAACGACCCGTTTCTCTTCACTGTCGCTAGGATGTACTCATCGCTTTGTCGCAAAAGGTGGTCGAAGCATTTATCCACAAAGCAAAAGTACAGTTGACGCTTTTCCTCCTGCGCGTCCTTCACCTCCACGTAGAGAAAGGGCTCCTTGAAGTGGCCCTTCTGCTCCATCCTAAACCCTCACCAAGGCTGGAAAAAAAAGGGCGGTCAAAAGGGGCCACCACAAAGAGCGGTCAAAAAGGGCGGTGAAGAGAAACGTCCCCCCAGTTGCTTCCAATAACCGCAACACCGCTCCACTGTGCTTGGCCAGCCACTTCTCACATGATCCCCCCCCCGTTTTATATAATCCTCTTTACAATGAGCTCGACTTGTCGCTCGCTCTTCTCAACTTGGCCGAGTTCATAACCCCCTCCAGTAGGTTCATATTTGACGACCCCGAATTATCCTTCGACCGATTTTTTATGAAGTAGTCGCACTCTAAATATCTCTGTGTGCAATTCCAGATGCACTTTTTATTCGTGTTGCTCAGGCTTTTTTCTGAGAAGGGGTAAAGAGACGGGGCGAGATAAAGTCACGTGTGGGGAGAGGGTTGTTTCCCCCGTCGGTCGTGTGACACGGTGGGATGGTCCACTTATTGGTCCCCCTTGTCGCCGCTAGTGAATGCGACGCGTTGCCACGTCTGTCATTGCGTTTTATACGTTCAGTCATTTTTTTTCATTTTTTTTTGTTCTTTTTTTCCTTACGGCTTACCTGGATAGCTCACGCATTTATCGAAGCAGTAGGACGAGATCTTGCAGGTCTCCTTGAAGGAGCTTATTATCTGCTCGGTGGGGAAGGAGTACACGGTGAAGAGTGAATGGCGGAAGGAGGGTTCCATTATGAAGCGCTTTATGGCGAGGCACTCAAACCACGTCGCCCATTGTAAGGAGGATCCCCACTCTGATGAATCCACACACAGACACAGGTATGTCACAACGCTCACGTATTCGAGCGTGCGCCTACGTGGGACACACCCACCGCGACACCATCCACAAAAGAGAGACGTACCTTGTTTAGAGTGTTCAGTTGGGATAGGAAATTATTAACGTTGCTTTCATCCTTGGTATCGTGATCCATTGTTTGGTAAAAGGGGGGATGGCACTCATGGACGATGTAGTGTATTATTCACTGCTGGTCTGGACCCGTTCCTCTCTTCCCCGTGTGATCTCTTTTCATGTCCTCACAAGTAGTTGTAGGGAGCCGACGTTCACTTCGTTCAATTTACGTGTACGTCTCGTCCGTCCCCTTTTTCTAAAATGCACTCTCCTTTCACAGTACAGTTTGCTCGATAAAGGAACACGAAAAAATGGTAACAACGGTAAAGCGACGTCTCAATGTTTTCTCATCACTTTAAGGGCACTTGGTGCGAATGCGCACGATCGGCCATCTGTGTAAGTTGCCTCGAAGGAGGGGTCCTCTATATATATACTAATGGAGAAACGCGTGATACATATCGTAATATATGTATACACCACGTGGTATCACTTAATTGACAAAGAGAGGGAAATGGAAAAAAGGAAGGAAAAAAAAAAAAAAACCATTTGTAAACAGTGTTGTGAAATTTTTTTTCAACATTACTGTTCTTTTAATAGCAGTAATGACGGTTCCCGTTTCGCACCCGTGGCGTTTTCCCTTTTTCACGTGGAACTCGTCCTTTTTTTTTTTTTTTTTTTTTTTTTTTGGAGCCACGTTTAACCGACAAGGAGAATTTTGCTCATTTTTTTATTTGATTTTTTTCCTCATTCAGAAATGAAAAAATATGGCACAATGTACAACTCTGTGTCGAACTTCCAATCCTCCTCTCGCCCTCTTTCCCTTTTGCGATCCCCCCAGGGGAAAGCTGGTAGGAAGTCCATAAGTCAACATTACCGGAGGAAAAAATGAACGCAAACAATAGGCAGCTAGTCAAGGATATCTACAAAATAGGTACAGTGTGCAACTGTGCGGGGGTTGTGTTGTATAATATTTGCGCACGTTGGGGCAAGCGTGCAAGGCAAGGGTGTTCTCAGCGAGGGAGCATTTCATTGAGTGCCCAACCAGTCATGTCACTCCCGATCACAGCTATACTCACGACGTGCCTTCCATTTGTTCCCCCACCACATGCAGGACTAGACCACAAAGACTTCATCAACATAGAAAATCTGGAAGAAATATATGAAAAGAAAAAAAATGTAAAGCTACGGAGAAGTGACATTGTGTACGCGCTCAACATCCTCGAAAATGCAAGAGCCTGTGCGATAAAGAATGAAAACAACACAATCATAACGAGGATGCGAAGTGAAGAAGTCACCAGCAAATTGAAAGAGCTGAGCGACATTGATTTTTTAATTTTTACCAAAGTGGAAAATAGCCAGAATAATGGAATTTGGACAGCTGACCTGAGGAAGCAAACCAAATTACTAGTAAGATATATTATTTTTTTACCTGACCTGGTCATAATTTTAGAAAAAAAAAAAAAAATATACACCTAGCCACATTGCCTGAACGAGACAGCTTGTGTATAAAGAACACCTTTTTAGCTGTTCAAAATATCTCGTCCATGTTGTGCATATGCATGTAACGGGGGAGGAGACACACACACTCATTTTTATTCTGTCCACCTTTTTTTTTTTTTCAGATTCACCAAGTTCAGAAGGGCGTCAAGCTGTTGTGCGAGTGTAAACTGATAAAGCAGGTAAGAGGCAGGGAAAAACAAAAAAAAAAAAAAAAATATGAACCGTTCAGGTAAATGCGCACGTTTTCTTATCCCCTTCAGGTAAATAACATTCACGTGAAAAATCGCAAAATGTACATATTGTACGATTTAGAGGCCTCAGAAAAGGTAATCGAATTGAGTGGTGAATGCGAGGGGGTCCAACTGACCGTCCGAAGAGTGACCCTATTCGTAGTAACAAAAACGAGTCCTACAGCGCCGTTTGGCCTTTTCTCCGTCACTACGTTGCTGGCTCTATCACTGTTTTTTATTTCCATCCCATTCCATCGTGCAGGTCATAGGAGGCTCCTTTTACACTGACGGAGAATTCAACAAAAAGGTGGTGGACTACATACGGGAGAACATTTGTTTTTACTTGTACAACAACAACAACTCGAATGTCCTGTCTGTCATTAATTACATAAAAAACCTCAACAGCAGTATCGGCTACTTCTCCGACAACGACATATATAGAGTAATAAAGACTTTGCTGTATGAGGAGCGAATTAAAATTTACAAAAATAATAACGACGAGGAAATAATTTATTATTATAATAATGAGAAGAAAAACTACTTTAGCAACTTCCCCTGCTTCTCCTGCGACATTTTTAATAAATGCAACTCGGATACGAAAACGGCCATTAATCCGAAGAACTGCGTCTACTTGAATTTTTACCTTAACCTGGAGGTAAGGCGCGAACGTATGGCGGGCAGTTGCCAAGCTTACCTCGCAAGGGAGATGCTGTTCACTCAGCGAGGTGGTAAGGCCGCTTCATGTGTCAAACCCAACCATGTTGACTGCCCCATTCGGCCACTCATCCTGCATTCCTTCCCACTTGCTGCCCTTCCTACAGAATGAATAGCACCATCCCGTAGGACAAGAAGAGATGACGCGAGTTAAGCACCCGTTAGGGGGTCAAGACAGGAGTGGATTGTCCCCCGTTTTGTCTTTTTTATTTTTTTTTGTTATGCTATGTTTCGCCATATACGCGACGTATGCTGCGAAGTGAAGCGAAGCGTGCGTTATTTTAAATATATTAAATTCTCTTTAAATTTGTATACCATTGTCAATCTGTTTTTTTTTTTTTTCTTTTTTTTTTCTGTCCATTTTTGAAGACCCATCGTATAGGTGTGTCCTTTTTTTTTTTTTTTTTTTTTTTTTTCAAACCTGCGAGTGCATTTGTTAAATTGGAAGAAAAGACACCTCTGTATACTTTATTACCATTTTTTTTTTTTCTCTGTCCTTCCAAACGAGTGTTGGATAAGAGAAAGGGAACAGTTTAACCAATTGCCATTAAATTATTAACATAGGCACATGTACACGTGATGTGCCTAATGTAGTGTACCACTTAATGTGCCACTGTGCGTTTCCGTCCTCAACGAGTGTGTGACACACTTGAAGGGGACAGAAAAAAAAAAAAAAAAACACCCCATGATGAGTGGAACAACAAAAAGGGAAAAGGATTACACCCGGATAAAGGAACAAAAAATAGTGCAGTATGATTCGTAAAAGTGGATGTGTTTTTTTTTGGCGGGGGGAACTGAGGTGATCCCCTCACTTGGTTGTAACGGATAAAGCGGGGGCAAATTGTCGTACCCATTTTTTTTTTTTTGTTGCAACTGAGTAGTGATGCCACTTCATATATTCCTCAACCCGCTCAGGACAGAATGCGAAATAACGAGGAGTGACTGCGAGGAGTTCATTCGGGTCGTCAAAAGGTAAGGTGTAGAGACAGAATATTAAATAAATAAATAAAATAAAAATGTCTTCCCAATTTGTACGGTGCATGCGCTGTCGCCTGTAAGTGACAATAGCCGATCAGATCGGAAAAGTCAAGTGGGACAAAAAAAAAAAAAAAAAAAAAAAAAAAAAGGGAAAAAAAAAAAAAAAAAAAAAAAAAAAAAAAACATACGTGATTGAGTATTTGCACACCGCTCCTCACCCCTGCACACCTTTCCTTGCCTCAAAAGGTTTGGCACATCGTTCACAGAAAAGGACTTAGCCCAGTATTGCCGTTTAAATCACATCCCGATAAGCGAGTAAGCTGTGTGGAGGTTGCCTCATCTCGTCTCATCACATTTCAGCTTCCGTCCTTACCCAGTGCACTTTATGAGCTTCTTCCCCCCCCCGCAGACACACCATAGAATGCATGTTCGAGGAGTTTTTTCTGAACAAAAAAAACGAGAGGGAGTAAGTCCACGAGAAATAAACTCATCTGCGTTACTCCTCTTTGTGTGAACGCATTTTGCGAATCCATTCTGTGAACCCCCCCTCCCCCTTGCCTCTCCCGCAGCACCCGCGAGATCACCGCCGACGATCTGATATCCTTGACCTCCAAAAAAACGAACAGATGCTTCTACGTCCCCGTCGTCGTGTACATAGGTAATGTCGCAGTGGACAAAACGAAAAAAATGGAAAACCCAATGAAACCAACAGGGGAGTCGCTCCCCCTCTCTGTTCCATTTATCCCCAAGGGGGGAGAGAAAAGCACCTTAGCTGAAGCGTCCCCCTTCTTTTTTCTACGCGTGACACTTTTTTCCCCCCCTCTCACAGGAAAGCGTAGCCACATACGAAGCTACGAAGAAGGACTCAAAAAGGCAAAGGAGAAGGAAAAAAAAAATGAACAAATCGAAAAAGACAATTTAAAAAAACAAATTCAAAGAGACAAGAAAAATAAACAGAGAAATGAAAAAATGAATTACGTGTGGGAGGATGAAATTTGGGGCAGGTCCAACTTTTGCACTGAAGCCACGTCGATAGATCGGGAGGGGAAAGTTCAGGTGGACAGCACCAATGTGAAGACACGAGATGGTGAAGCCCCCAACGCCGTGCAGCATCTGTTGGAAGCGAACCGTGCTAACAGCGAAGAGAACGATGAACAGCTGGAGTCTTCCAAGCAAGTCGAAGTAACTGAAAAGGGAAAAGGCAACCACGACGACCAGAATACGAATAGTAGTGGCACCATGAAGAAGTCTTCGCCGGGAAGAAAAGGCAAAAGTGGAATGGGAAGGAAGGGCGCTGCCGCTCAGCACGAAAAAGAGCAACCCACCGCGGCAGAAGCAAAGCGACTCGCTTTGGAGGAGCAGAAGAGGGAAAAGCAAATCTACTACGACTCCCTAATGCAGCAGGTTCTAAATAACATACAAAAAGGAAAAGAGAAAAAAAAAAAACATCTCACAACATTCAACTTTGTTACTTATTACAAACTTCATGAGCTGATATACATGTCCTTCCTGGTGGACAAGTACCAGGGCTACTTCCAAGGTAGGGGGAATGCCGACAAGGATAAGGAGGAGCAGCGCCCCATGCTTTTCACCCTCCTTACATGGGTACATAAGTGTGTCCCACTTGGTAATGCCTCCCTTCCCGCGACAGGCACAGAAGAGAGCGACTTGATCGACATTTACACAGAGGAGGGGGAACAAATGGATCGAAGTGAAGACAGCAGAGGAGATGGCCCAGGAGAGACAACCATGAACAGTGGCGAAGAAAATGTGCAGGCAAAAATGGAAGAAGAGGTAGAAGGCGCGAACAGGATTACCCTCGAGCAAGTTGTACATAAATACAAAGGGGACAGGGAGAAAGAAGAAGAAAAAAAAAAAAAATTAAAAAAAAAAACACATAAGTACATACATAGTAACCAGCTAGCCAATTTTCAATTTGTTAAAAAAAATATAGAAGAAATAATGAACTCCGTTTTGTACAACTTGAACACATTCTTCAATGACAAGGTGTTAGAGGTAGAACGTGTGATGGAGGAGTACAGCACCGTGGTGGCGAAAAGCAACCAAGGGAATGCCTGCACCACACAGGTTGTTATGTGCATTGACGCTGATAAAGAAAAAAATGAACTGCTCAACAAGGACAAGACTTTTTCTAGTCAGCTAATCGAAGGGAATGAAAAGGCATCTCTGCTTGGTGAAGCTCTCGCTTTAAACGAAGGGGAAGAGGCAACAGGCATAAATACTCCTCAATGTGATAGCCTGCCCCAATTGAAGAACAAAAAAAAATGTGTCTCAAATGGCGAAGTCATCACTTCTAATCAGCCAAGCGAAACAGTAGGACAGATGAAAAAGGAAATCACCAAAGGGGGTGAGAAGCCCAACTTCGCAGAAGGACACATAAGCGGACAAGAAGGCGAAGCAGAGGGGGGAAATAAGAACATAAAAAGAGGGTGTAAGGGAAGGCGTGCGAAACGAATGCACACTTTTAAGAGGCCCCCTGGTACACACCTGTCCGAAATGGACGAAGCAGTCGATGGGCCGTCCGATGTCCAACTTAACGACGAAGAAACTCTATCCGATCATTACATAAGTTACGCGAATTTAAAATACACTGAGGAAGAAATAAAGCAAAAAAATTTTATCTACTATTTAACGCATGATATAAACAAAATTGAAACATTCAAGAGGAAATACTTTTACGACTTTTTTTTCATGTACATGGTGAGGAAGCTCTTCTGGAATGTGCTTTGTTTGTATTACTTGCACTGGAACGAGCGGCTCGCGCAGGACACACCAATGCAGAGCGGGTCACCAGATGATCCCTCCCTGTCCCAACCACTCAGGAGTCACCTAACCAGCCAGATAAACAGCCAAGGCCTTGATGAGGACAATCTAATTCTGTACGAAAGCGACGTCAGTGTGAATAACGCCAAGAAGAACAAGACCATGCTCTACAACACTAACCAGAAGCTGTGCCACAATCTGGACCCCCTATTTAAATTAATTCGCAGCGAAAAATTGCTCATTTACCTTCGATATGACCAAAATAAAAGGGTCAAATGTAAAAACAAAACGGAATACTTGTACAGAGAAATATGGCAATACCTTATTTTCACGAACTTAAAGCAAAAGGAGCAAACTGGGACATATAGCCCTTTCAGTGAGTTCGTCCTCTTTCGCCAGGACTGAAAAGAACAAACAAAAAAAAAAGCGCGAATTTGCCTGAATGGTTCATATTTTTTTTTTTTAGTTTTATTTTTTTTTTATTCTCCAAATGGCTAGTCGAAATTTTTTCCCCCAAAATGGGGATTTTTTTGTTCTCACTGGTATGTTCGCAGCAGCGTGTGAAAATGTATTCGCCGCTTTGTCACTTGATGTGGGGAAATTTGTGGGGGTCCCCAAGCCTACGTACCGTAGCACGCATATAGAGGGAGCATATAGGCATACATTTGTATGCATACAATAAATAAAGCTTATTGCAAGGTACACCATTGACGCGTTTTTTTTTTTTTTTTTTCTCTTTTTATGCCCTCGTGTAACTTTTTCTCCCATGATGTTATTTTATCCTTTTGTGCACTTGTGACTGTTACAAAAGGGAAGGAACGCACACACCTGCCCCATAAAAAAGGGAAAATACCTCACATGATATAAAAAGACCGTTGTATATAAAACGTTACGCAAGTTATATGTGACAGAAGGCCACCCCCTCGTGTTGAAGAAATTGAAGAGGGGGTCTTTCTACGCTGCGCAAACAAGATGATTTGGCAAAACCGATCCTGACTGTCCACTTCACCGCCGTCCCCCCACATGAATTGAAACAAAATGATGACACAAAAAAAAAAAAATAAAAAAAAAAGGGTGACGCAACTTTGAAAAAATGATTAAGAGATTTCTTCTTTTTATTCATTTTTTTTAATTTTGCGAAAGCACATGATCCACACAACGTAAGTCATAGTTACTCTGATTGTTTTCGCCTGTGGAGAACAGCGGTGAAGGGGGTAGTCAGGGAGAGGGCATAAAAATATGTTTGCCAGCGCCGCGTCATCTCCTCTTTGGAGGGAGGATTCAACAAAGGGGTATAATTAAAGCGTGGCAAAAGACTTCTTCATTGTTTGTCCCTACGCCAACGTGACGTTATGCAAATGGGGGTGCTAATGGTTGTAACGCGATTTAAGAGGTAGAAGCCCTGTTAGGCTGCCCCGTGCTGGACGGGAAGCTGTTACAGGAGGATGGGGCTCCTCATAGGAGCACAGATGTGTTCAGTTTAAAAATGAAAAAAAAAAAAAAAAAAGGCAAGCATGTAGAAACGCATGTAGCGAATGACGCGGCGATAATTTCACACGTGGCCGAAGAAAAAAATGCCAATTTCCAGCCAGCTCTCCGTGGAGTAAATAACTTTTTCCTTCTCATCGTACAGGTCCTTTAGCTCCTCCCCACGCTGATCGATGGGGGACACATTTTTGTTCGCGGTGCCATTGGTGGCGGGGGTGACGTCGCTTGTGGCGTTACGCGCGCGCGCCAGCATCTCAATCTTGGCCGCTGCACACACAAGGGGCTTAATAATGATGTTATGCTTTTCACAAAAAGTGATTAACAGCTCGTTGTGTCCAATCAGGATGGCGATGTCGGCGTGCAGCATGGCGTCCAAATCAATGAGGCTGTCTCCGATGAAGGCCGATAGCTTATGATTAACGTGTCGGAGCAGCGAACAGACCTTCGTTTGAATTAGTGTTTTGTCGTATAATGAGCTGAGCGAGACCTTCTCGATCGTCCCCACGTCATTACCACCCCCGGGCTGGTACTCACCGTGCTTGATTTTCAGACGATTGTATTCGAACTCCCCAGTATACTTGCGCTGCCCCTTGTCGTACGTGTGCGTCTTGGAGTAGTACACGTGGAAGTACTTTTTAAACGTTTGGTAGTAGTCCTCCTCGGTTGGCGCCGTTGCAGACGAGGGGGGTGGCGGCGGCGACAGGGCAAACGTCCCGCCTCTCACCTTCAACAAATTATTCCTTATCGTGTAGAGACAAATTTGCTTCTTCAAATTTAGCGTAATCACGTCGAGGTAAAAGGAGTCCCTGTTCTCCATTTTATAATTAAGCAAATGTAAAAAGACTTCCAAAAAAAATTCGTTCAGTTCAAAACGTTCATAGTGCTCACTGATGAGACTGTTCAGCACATCTACCTGCACATCCTTAAACACATCGTAGTAGGAGAGCAACATGGAGTAGTTGACGTGTACCTTGTCCACTTCATTTAAAAAATGGTAATACGATTTTGAATACACTTGTTCTTTCTTCTCCTGATCCTTTTTTAAATTTTCTAGAATGTCTAACTCCTGGAGTGAAAACCAATGGCCCAACTTGTGTATGTATTCAATCTTCTCCTGTGTTGTAGGTTTAGGTTTATTTTTCATTTCTTCTAAAGAGAAATTATTAAAAAAGGTTATGTCCTCTTCTGTTAAAGTTTCCTTTCCTGTCCTCACACTCTCCTTAAAATAATGTTTTTCCAATATTTTAAAAAAAGCTGAGTAAGAATCTTTTTTTATTATCGTCTTGTCGAAATCGATGGCGACGTGGAAGAAGTGGTTGATGAAGGGGACACGGGGGGAGGGGCCACTTCCAATATAATTCACGTGGGGGTTATCTGTGGGGTGGCTACCAACTTCCTTCACACGGCTAGCAGCAAAAAATTCGCTCTGTAACGCGGTAGCATTTCTCAGTACATTCAAACATTCGAGGATGTCTCCGCATGTGTGGCTCATTCCCTCCTTCTGCGTCAACAGCCTCTCCCTAGATAGGAAGTATAACATGGCTTGGTTCAGCTGCATGAAGTCTCCCTTGGCATACTGCTCGATGAACATGCGGTACATGGCGAATCGCTGCAGGTCGCTCTGCACGCGGCTGTCCGCACAATCGTGTGGCATCCCCCTGATTGGAAGGTATCGCCCCACCTTAGCCTTACTAATGGCAAGAGAAGTGACGTAGAAAATGCTTGCGAAGACATACACAAAGGCATATATCTCGTACACCTTTTTCATGTGGGCGTCATTTGCACTTCCCTCCTGAATGCCCTTCCCACAAGGCTCATCCAAAAAGGGGAAGTACTTCTTTAAGCTGCTACACACATGGTGACTTTCACCATCATCACCATCTACCACCAACTGCGCCGCCTCATTTGTCTTGTCCTTCCCCTGTAAGGAAGCCAACTCGTTGTACACACCTCGCATGACACCCCTGCACCGATTCATCAGCTGGACCAGGTTTTCATTTTCAGTCTCTTCTGAAACCACCTCCACTTGCTTTATGCATTTAGCTAGTACACCCAAATTGATTGACACAAATTTTAAAAAAAGATTTTCCTCTAAGCAAGTGTAAGTGAGAGATCGGATAAAGTCGTTGTGGACACACATGAGGAAATTACGTTCGCAGTACTTCCTAACCAAGTAAGCATAATAAAAGATCAGGAGGTTTTCACTTTGTGTGATTGCTTTTTTCGAGTCTGTTTCTTGTGCCCCTTGGAAGTCATATGGAGTATACTTTATCACCTCCTTGTAATGATCACTCTGGTCATAACAATTTAGAACGTTTCTGTAGTAGCTCTGTTCAAACACTGTCTTCTTTCTTAGGCTGTTTATCTTTTTCCTAACATAGTTGCTCGCTCCGTTTGGGCTATTCACGTCGAGTGGGCTGTTCGTTCCGTTTCGGCTATTCACTCCATTTGCGTCCTTTTCAATGCCAACTGTGCTTTCGTCATCCCCCTTGGGGGTGCCATCGCTCAGCTTCTTTAACTCGAGAAAAATCTTTACCTCCCGTTCAAACTCCCTTTCTCGGTTGATTCGCAGCTTCTCCAGGAGAAGCTTCACGTCCTTCATTTTGGCTCTTGTCCTGTGGGGGAAAAAGCGGTTCTCACGAGGGGATGGGGCGTCGCTCAATGAGGCCACGCGTGGTGACTCCTGTTCACATGTGCATCGGGCTCTACATTAAAAAAAAAATATAAAAAAAAAAAACGCATCTCCTCCAATCAAATATAATATAGTATAAAAGTCCCTCCTGTTACCGCTAACCCAGCTCAGTCACTGCATTCCTCCCCCGCTGCTTCCCCCAGGAGCGGGACACAGAATCGACTTCTCACAATGTTAACATGCAAAAATCTGCTTAGCACATTCACACGTAGGTAATATATCTTCGCCTTCTCAGAAGATGCAGATGTATGTATGGTTACACGTGTGCCGTACACAGGTGTTCTATTTTACTTCTCTAGGATGAAAACAAAAGGCCATAAAAAAAAAAACAAAGTGGGGGGGGGGGGGGGGGGCGCCGCGGTTTAGGGCTGTTATGCATTTGCGCAGTTGTGCAAGTTATGCTCTTTTTCGAGTGGCCACTTCCTATTGGCGTCGATGGTGAAAACAAGAGTGCGCGCTGCAGTTGGGGGGGTTGGAGGTGCGCACGCAATTCTGCTCTTAGTCAAAACCCCCCCATGTGCCAGTGGGCAAGCTCTCCATACATGAACTGTGCACATATATCAAGTTACATAAGTTTATTATATATGTGTTCATATCCTCGCGCGCGAGGTTGTTAAACTACTTACACGAAGTTGTTTTTTTTTTTTTTTTTTTTTTTTTTTTTTCTCCCTTAGAGATGCAAACACACCCTCTGGTGTCACTTATCTCCATTCACTTGTTCACTGAGCACGACAAAAAAAAAAAAAAAAAATGTGAAATTTTTCAGTGTCCTCTTGTTTTTTTGTTTTTTTTTTCATGTTCATGAAGAGCGATCAGACAGGCGCTGTTAAGGGGAAACCGGGAGGTTGCTTATCGAAGCGTCGACTTTTGCGTCATGAATGTCACCGGGGGTGTCACATTATCAAGTGACCTTAGGATCGCCGCCTCCGCGAACCACGAATGAGCACAACGGCACTAATATTTGATATGGCCGCTGAGTGGAGAAGGGCTATCCCATGCGCACCCACGCCTGCTCGTACGGACTTACGCAGCAAAAATAAAATAAAATACACATATGAACGTGTCCGTGAATGGGCCAACTGACAAATTGGGAGCGGCAAATGACGAAGTGAAATTGCGAGTGACGAATGAGCGACACGCGCGCCCAACTCCTCATGTGCTTATGTACCTGTGCGCTGGCATACGCGTGTAGCACCGCCCGAGCTTTCGCAGTTACGGCAAAATGTTATTTGATTATTTTTTTTTTTTTTCGTAACTCGCCATCCACCATTTGAACCACTTTGAACTTCCGTTGGGGACATAAACATATAAGCAAATACATTTGGCAATTCGCTTCTTTTTTTTTTTGCCACCGCCGCTGCCCTTCACACTTCCTAGACATGGGATAAAAAAAAAAAAAAGCGGCACAGTGATGAAGTAAAAGCGCCCGAGCTGGCTTTGTACAATGCACAACGCAGTTGTGTGCGCTTCACCCCCACCTCCAATTTGAATAACTGCTTGGCCCACACTCGTCCCAGTACGGCTGCGCCCACCGCGTCCGTAAACCACCTGCACAACGACGATCGGCGAATCGCTCACCGCTCACCGCGAACCCTAAGTGAAAGAAATCAAAATGGCCAAAACGACGGTTGTGTTTTACAACATAATTAATGACAAAGAGGACAAAAATTCACAAAACGTTTTTTACATCCCCAAACCGATTAATTCAATAACGTTACATGATATACGAAATGGGTTTCCCTTGGCTGGCACTTACCACTTCAGGTTGAATGCTCCCTCCATGTGTGTTTTGCACACACGAGCGAGAAAATGTATATGCATATGTATATGTACATATGTGCCTGTACCGTTCATGCGATTTACGTCTCCTACCCAACCTTCCTCCTTCACCAACTCCATTTCAGATTTAAAATAATTCATAATAACACCCCTGTGTGGGTTGATATCAGCGAAGAGTCCTCGCCAATACCCAGCTTGAATTCATGTATATACGCCAAGGTAAATAAAATTTTCTTGTCTTCTTCGAAACCATTGTTCAGAGAAATGGAATGACGCACACGTACACTAGCTGTAATGTGTGGTTGATATGTCTTGCTAAAGCCCTGCACGTAGGATGGTCATACGCACGGTTGGGAAAAATACGATTAAGAATTTTTTTTTTTTCCCGCAAGTGTAAATACGCTTGTCAACCTTGCACACGGTTTCCACGTTTTATGTCCTCCCTTCACACAACTACTTGACCCACTGCACAGGTTTTGAGACTCAGTTGGATGGACCACAAGCGAACAAAGGAACCTCCTGGCGGGAAGCTTCTCGATGAAGGTGTTCCAAAATTGTACAAAAATGAGAAAACCATTTTCGACATAAAAGAAAACAAACCACATGACCATGTGCAGATGATGAGTAAGACAAAGGGCAACATTGACATGCTGCTATTTGAAAGCACTCCACATAAGGAAGCTATGCATGTGGACGGCGGCAAGCGGAAAGGTAAGGGCGCGGAGTGAGGCGAGCGCGGCGAGCGCGGCCACAACTGAGTTGTTGCACTGACTGGAGGGCATCTCCCCTGCACGGGGTTACTGCGAGGCAGTGTGTGCAAGTGGGCGTACCAATTCGTGTTCAAACGCGCGCAAGTGCGCAGTGATTAAGATGAGAATACACGAGCGCAGACAGAAGAACATATGGGTTATGTCCACGCCTTCTTTTCTTCTTTATCGTAGATAACGCCAAGGACCAAAATTACCTCGACTTGATGTTCAACTAGAGGCGTTTTTCATCACGCCTGATTCGACTGTATTCCCTAGTGTAGCCCTCCAACAACATGTTTACGTGTGTTTACCACCCACTGAAAGCGCTACTGACTGGGCCATCAACCCTTTTTTTTTTTTTTTTTTTTTCTGTTCCCCCACGTATGCGCAACTAAGCATGTAAAGAAGTGAACTAGTTCCGCTGTGCAATCACATACCCATTGATCAGTAAACACCTGATAATTAAATTTTTTTTTTTTTTTTTTTTTTTTTTTTTTTTTTTTTTTTGCGCAAATGTTTATGTACACGTTCATACAAATGTATTATTGCGCGTTCGAATTAAAATATCCTGCGTTGCTACATAACAATTTGCAATTGAGGGAAAAAGCAAAGAAAGAATAAGTCAGCAAGCGAACAGTTGAAGCATGTAACTGTGCAACGTAAGCTACGCATGCAACGGAAGCCTAAACAAAACAGTAATGATTAACACAATCGTATTTTCTACGAAAGCCAAGGCATGCACGTGTGCCAAACGGAAGTTGAGAGAACAGTGGCCGTCGTCGCAGTTTTCCAAGTCGGCAAAGGAAATTTCCGTTCCGACGGGAGAATGCCCGTTTGACAGTTGTCACTAATTTTCCCATCGGAGTTTTCACCTGTACACGTTCACAAAGGAGCAGGCTTTTTTTTTTTTTTTTTTTTTTTTCGCGTTTTTTTCCTAATTTTTTCACACGTTTCCCCCATTCTCTTTCCCGCCCCAGTCCGGACATACAAATCCGGTTCAGTGATCAACGCAAAATGCCACCATGAGTGCCTTAATTTAAACCTGTTATAATTTTATATGTACCTTTCCGAGTGGACATTTGCTTTGTTGCATTTGGTTCATTGCTGCCACCACAGTCTGCGCAGCCCCAGTTCGACCATGTTCGCATTTTGAAAATTCCCAATTTGCTCTTTCATTGTATGTTATAATTCGCCTGATCAGTTTTATTTGCACCTCAAACACCTGTGGTTGTTCGTATGTATGTTTTTTTTTTTTTTTTTTTTTTTTGTATCTCCGCTCAAATTAAGTGATCTCCTACTACGGCCAGAGAGTCCAATTCTCTCTATTTTTTTTTTTTTTTTTTTTTTTTCCCTCCCAGCAACTGTCGTTTGTTGGGACATGTTCTTTTATTTGTGAGTACTCTGTAACGCGGGTCACTTGGTGCGTATTTGTGACATAAACATTTCTTCCTTTGCCAGCGAGCGAATATGAATGCGCTGATACTAGTCGGGGGGTACGGCACAAGGTTAAGACCGCTCACCCTGACAACCCCCAAACCACTAATCAGCTTCTGCAACAGACCAATACTAGAACACCAAATCTTTAATTTGGCACGATGTGGAATCAGAGAAATAATTTTGGCCATAGCTTATAAACCCACACATATAACGAACTTTGTGAATGACTTGGAAAAAAAATACAACGTTAAAATTATTTATTCTATTGAGGAGGAGCCCTTGGGCACGGGGGGGCCAATAAAATTGGCAGAGAAGTATTTGAGCAAGTACGACGATTTTTTTGTGTTCAACTCGGATATTATTTGCTCCTTCCCCCTTCTGGAGATGATGAGCTTTCACAAGCAAAGCAATGCACCACTAACCATTTTGGTAAGTCAAGAGAGGGGCGCAGTGCGTATGTCTTCACTGCATGTGTTAATTGTGTCTGTATATGAATTGGTTGCAAACTTGTGTGTTGATTTGTGGACACACAATAGCGTGTGCATCGCACATGTTTTTACCATTTCGCCTGCATCGTTCAGGCAAAAAAAAAAATATATTTTTTTTTTGTCCCAATTGTGCAGGTGAAAGAGGTCGAAGACCCCAGAGCGTTTGGAGTGGTCATAACGGAAGAAAATCGAATTACCAAGTTTGAGGAGAAGCCACAAGTCCCTAAATCAAGCTTAATAAATGCAGGAATTTATATAATGAACAAAGAAATCTTAAATCGCATTCCTATGAGGAACACGTCGCTGGAGAAGGAAATATTTCCCCAGCTAGCTAATGATAACATGTTATATTTCTACATATTAAATAAATTTTGGGCCGACATTGGCAAGCCGCTGGATTTTTTAAAGGGACAGGCGTTATACTTGGAGGACTTGGAGGAAAATAAGGAAAGAGGCGGAGAAGGAAAAGGGGAAATAGGGAACGAAACAAGTACTGACAAGGTAAACAACACAAAATCCATCCCGCAGGAGCGCATCCTGCGCGACCACTTCCTCATATGCTACGGCATAACGGACAAGGAAAAGGGCGCTAAGAGTGGCAGCAAGAAAAACCTATTTATAACATTTGGAGATATGAATGAGTTGGAAGAATTCACCCGTAGGAAAAGCCACCTCTTCGATGAAATTCTTGTGCACACAAAAGTGGAAGGAAATGTGTTGATATCATCCAAGACGATCATAGAAAAAAATTGCTTCTTGGGAGACAACGTCGTTCTGGGAGAAAACGTTACCATTGGAGAAGGATGTCGCATCAAAAATTCTTGCGTCATGAGCAACTCCACCATCAGTTCGTATTCCTACATTGAGAATTCGATCATTGGCTCCAAGTCCAGGGTTGGAAGCTGGTCACGCATTGAAGGGATGTGCGTGCTGGGCGAGAACGTCATTTTGAAGCCCGAAATATTTGTTAACAATGCCTTCATCCTGCCCTTCAAGGAGGTCAGCAGCTCGATATATGAGAAGGGAGCGATTATCATGTGATGTGAAGGAGGACCAAGAGGCATAATATGATTCTTACGCTTATGAGGACGACGAACAAAGGCGAGCGAAACGACGCAGTCCCAGTGTGAAGCTTCGCCGTTTTGCAGGTCCACAACATTTTTTTCCATGTGTAAAAATAATGTGATAATTTTTTTTGTTTAGTTTTTTTTTTTTTTTGTGTCCGCCTCCTCCCGGTGAGTTAGCAGTTCACCATTCGTGTGTGTATACGTGTATGTCTTTTTTTTTTTTTTTTTCAGCGCCGATATATAGGGGCTTTATACCCACATATCACGCGCGTGCCTGCGTAAAAGCATGGCGCAAATTTCCCTCTTAAACCCCCACCCACACCCTAAAGTGTAAAACATGCACACAACATGGATTGCGCGGTGCAAGTGGAGCGAACAACTCGAACGTCCCACTGAGCTGCCCCAATGCGCTTAATCGTGTAACGGCGTAACGGCGTAACGACGAAGCGGTCGTTTTTGTCCCCTCCCCCCGCATCAACTTTCTCTCCACAATGCGCGAAAAAAAATGAAGGACTACCTAGAGGGGTACAACAAGTACTTAAAGTACGACAACTGCATTCTTGTCGAGCATGAGGAGGAAGAAAGCAAAAGTGTTAAAGGAGAAAACTGTGTGAAGGATAAGAACATAGTCCGCGTCATACAAGAAATTCGAAAAAACTTACGCTCAAATGTTCTGTACAAAAATGATAGAAAAAATGCCCTCTTCAATGAGCCCCTATATAATATGTTTCCACTCAAATGTGTGAAGGACAAAAAGGTCGACCAAATTTCTTACGTGTGTAGAGTGACAAGCGAGGAGGACGCGATTGCTAGTCTTAAAAAAATACAAGACATTGTGTCGAGGATGTATGTGAAGAATATGCTCATGGAGAAGGAATTTCTGGTGGACCTCTTGTCCGTTTTTATGGAGCTCTGCAGACAGGTAAGTCCATATCTCTCTGCCTCCCCCCCATGTGCCAGTGGGCAAGCTCCCCATACACATATGGCGCGCCTTCCCCCACCGCGACCCTCCCCCACCACGTGCAGGTCTCCGTGACGTGCTTCCAGCGAGGATCTCTCCTCAAGCAGCTGTTCAACTACAATAGCATGCTCCTCTTCCACTACCACAAATTGGTCAGGTGAGAGTTCGCTTTGCGTGCAGGTGCGCATGCGGCGTTCTCCAAAAATCTCGCAAGATCCATTCTCCACGTGCTGTTCCCCCATAACCCTTTTGTCCTGCTTGGGCTGCTTTGCACGTGCACCTCCCCTTCTGTCCCCTCCGTGTAGGTCATCTCTGGCCTTCAATTTAAAGAAGGAAATAGAAAGGAGACACACGATGAGCGAGTTGTCCAAGGAAATTGAGCGCAAAAAGGAGGCCAACAATTCTTTGAAGAGCGAAATTGTGGACACGGACCAGCTGATCGAGGAGGAGAGGAAAAACGCGGAGCGGGAGATTTCAGAGGTACAGGAGATGAGAAGCAGTGTAGCGCTTTCTCGCACCTTCTATTCCCTTGCACCGTTTACCCCCTCGCCTCTTCACCTCTTCACCCTGTCCCAGGTGAACATAATTTATCAGAACAAAATAGACAAGCTGAAGAAGAACAACCAGAGGAAGCGCGACGAGTTCACGCGGCTGCTGCAGCTCTGAGGGGGGAGAAAAAATGAAAAGCGGTTTCCCAATGGGGAAGAGGCTTTTCCCTTCATCTTAAGTGTGTACCGATTTACTTTACATCTCTGTCTTCATTTCGTTTTTTTTTTTTTTCCTAAAAAGTTTAAGTCTATATACTATTTGAAAAAAAAAAAAAAAAAAAAAAAACTAGGAAAAAAATAAATCATTCAAAATTGGGATATATATTTGCAAAAAAAAAAAAAAAAAAAAAAAAAAAAATGAAGACTAAGGTAAAAGGCGAAGTAAAGGCCAAGTAAACGAATTAAAGCAACGTTAGGGTTAATAAAACTAGGCAAATATATAAAAAGCAGAAAAGCTTAAAAAATAAATAATAATAAAAAATAAAACCCGAAAAAATTTTAAAGCTGCTAAAAAAAGCTTAAAAAAATGAGGAAAAACTAAAAAGAAAACTTCAATTTGACAGAAAATAAAAATGCCACAATGGAGAATCATCTTCTTATGGAGTGAGCATAATTATATATGGAGGAATCGTCAAATAAAAAAAAAAAAAATAAAAAAAAATAAACAAAGAAAGAAAGATAACTGCCAGGAGGGAGAGAGACACCTGCTGGTGGTTTCTACAACTGTTCAAATTGACCATCCGACGAGAATACACATTACAAACACATGTGTGATTAACCCACGTGTGCAACCTTTTTAAAGGAGGAACTCGAACGATAGGATGGGCAATACGGTTAGGAAGAGTTTGCTCAGGCCCTGGAACAAGGATCCTCCATCATGACCCTTCTGTTCAGTGTCCAGGGCCGATATGGCTCCTTCCGAGTTGCCTTTCACCACTGCTTCTCCTGTGGGTTGCTCCTCCGCTTTCGCTGCACCGTCGCTATCTTCGCCTTTGACCGGGACATCATTCTGATCCGCCTCGGCAGGCTTGGCCACTTGTCCAGGGGGGTTAGTATCCTTATCGGCTTTATGAGCTGCTTCTTCCTCGTCGTCGTCCTCTTCGCCATCCTCATCATTTCTTCCCGCATGGTCGAGGGCTCCATTCTTGTCACCACCTTTCTTACTTGCGGGATGTACACCATCTGTGTGTTCATCTGTTTCCATCTTCTGTTCCTCCCCCTTGTCCGTCTCGCCCAGCTTATTATTTGCGTCCTCTTCGTCGCTCTCGTATCCTTCATCGGAGTAATTCATATCATCTTCCTCTTCATCAGTATTGCTCCCCTTTCCCTGTTCTTCTTTTTTGTTCATCTTTGAATGAGCATATTGCCCCGCGGCATTGTCACTTGTGACGTGGCCCTTCTTACTGGTCTCGCCACTCTTCACACTTACTGCATCCTCCTCTTTGTATACATCGAATGAGGAGGCCTGGTGTCCGAAGACCTGCCCGTCTTCCTCGTTGGCGCTGGTGAGGAGAGCGACCTTCTTCAACACCTTGTCGCTCTCATTGAAGAGGTGACTTAGGTTGTACTCCTTAGCCTTTTCATTCAACGCGGTGTATTTTTCTACCCTCTCGTCGATTTGAAGTTCCTTTTCGTAGGCCTGGTGGTATCCCAGGTGCAGCAAGGCATGGAGCTTTTGCAGGATGCGCTTGTTCTTCTCCCACAGAGGGGTGACCTCGGCAATTGCCCCTTCGGTAGTCGCTTCGTTGGTAGTGTCCCCTTCCGCAGCCGCTCCGTCGGTAGCTGCTTCGTCACCAACAGCTCCTTCTACCTGGGGGGAAGTACCCGCGGGCGAGTCCCTCTTCACGCCCACATTATCCAAATACTTGACAATACCCTCCACAGGGTCGGTAATTTTCTCCTCCTTCAAATGTTCGAAATTACTCTTAAGCGCATGGCTCAACATGTTCAGGTTCAGTGGGTTCTTATAGCAGTAGGATTTGATACAGCTAGCTAAATTGTTAAAAATAGCATTTTTTTCATAATACAGCTTTTTTAAATTTTCTACCAAGCCATTTCTCATATCGACGATTCTATTCTTCCTGTTGTAATCATCCAGTGTGTCAATCTCCAATAAGTCTTTGTACTCTTTTTTTTTTTTTTTTTTTTCTTCTTCTTCTTCTTCAACCCCTTTTTCCGTATCACTTGGGTTGGCTTTGTTAAACTGGAGTGCCTGAATATTTGGCTTGTACTTAAAAAAAATATCTGCCGAGATTAACCCATTTCCATGAGCAAAGTCTTCATACGTCAACACAGGATCGACATTTGTATCGAACATGTCTTTCATGTCTTTACTCTTTGCTTCATTATATATGAAGAGATATTTCTTCCTTAACCAATTAATACTGTTTTCCACTTGTTTAAGTTGTTCCATTTGTTCCTTCAACACATTCGCAAGATTATCCTGAAGACTTGTTATATCGACATCATCCATTTTGTTAATATTCAGTGTTTCTAATAAATAAATGTAATACAGATCCTGGTCTAAGCTTCTTTTCATTTCATTGTACCTGTCCTCGAGCAGATCCTTGAGATCAGATGGTTCATATTTGTTCATAAGCATTTTTGAAATTTCCTCTCCTAATAATTTAAAAATGGCATTTTTCTTACCTACCTGTTCGTTCATTTGCGATAAAAGAATTGTCTTTGCTTTTTTTATTTTGTTTGTAAATGTTTCATCGCTCTGCATTATGCCATTCACTTCATCATTTACTTCTCTGAGTTCATCCTCCTCATTCAACGCGTCGTCATCATCGTTGTCGTTTAACATGTCCCCACTTTCACTTTTATCACGACCCGCATCATTATTTCCTTCTCCCATCTCATCACGACCTTTTCCCTTCTCCATGGTCACTTCAGACATCCCTTCCCCTTCCCTTGTACAAACCACATTCAGCGAGATGTACGAGTTGTTAATGTAGCATTGGTCCTTCTCATTCAGGGTATCCTTTTGTAAAACATAAGGGTTGATTAGACACTCCTTATTATTATCGCATTGCCTTTTCAACACTTCTGTAACATCTTTTAAATTAATTTTACAAAAGGGAGAGTGTAAAAGGGCACTCTTTACTTGTACGTTTCCATCCTTGCACGTGATTGGTTCTTCATTTTTGTTTTTAATAAAAAAAAAATATTGAATATAATTTTCCTCTAAGAAAAAGGAGTTACTCAAAAGACATGTCGTAGATGTTTTTATTTCATTTTTTTCAGATTCAACACACTCTTCAAATTTTATTTCGTTTTGATTTCGCAGACTCTGGGCTTTGCTCTTCAATACATATTCGAAATAATATTTGCATGTGCTGTGTCCCATGCACTTGGCTTCCACCTCAGCCATACAACTCCTGTGGATGATTCGCTTCTTCGCGTTCATACATTGGACTTCACAGTGCAGGATGTACAGACTTCCCTCGGGGCAACTGAAAAGGGGGGGAAACAGATCGCGTAGCAGTGTTACATGAGGTTAGCAAAAAATATAATACTAAAATAAATAATACAAATAACGCGCGGTGAGTCTCGCTCAAACGCGTGCATTTCTTCTAAGTATAATGGTCAGCTAAACCGAGTCAAGACCCAGACTAGACCCCAGTTGGACTTACTTCAAAGAATTTTCCTCCCCGAACTTAACCACGTCGTTATTCACGTAGCATCTCGTTCGAGACACCAGGCATGGCAGCAGCAGGGCGACCGCGATGCGCCACAGGGCAGAATTTTTCATTTTAAAAAAGGGAAATGAGCAACACAAATACGAGCCAAATTAAGACGCAAAAAAGGGGGCAAAAAGGGAAGCAAAAAAGGAAGCAAACATGAATGTAAAAAAAAA